GGCTAAACTATGGAGAATATTCTTAATTAAGCTACAGCCCCTGGGGCGGTAAAATGTTTGGTAGGTGAAACATTCTCTTGGCTAGAGATTATTTTGTGAGGCGTTCGACATACTTTTCCCCAGCCCTAATATCCCCCGGCCCCTTATATGGGGCCCCTTATATGGGGACTATGGAGTGTCAAATACAGTCCAAAGAATGATCTGGAAATGCATTGAATGCCGTAAGTATCGATTCCCACCAATTCCAATCGGGATTCTTCGCCTGAATGTTGTGCGGCCGAGTCTTACGTGATCGCAGGCATTCCCTCGAAGCTCTGGACTTCTTCAGTCAATTTCCTTTGAGCAATCCCATTCGTGGCTCAGATCCGATATCTTCCAATTCCCTACTTAAGCCCAATACCCATTTTGTTCCCTGCGAAACATTCTAAAAATCATTGCCAATTATATATTTATAAATGGCATTGCATTGAAAATTCAATCCCCAGGACAAAACCGAAAGTCAAACTGCAAAATGCAAATAAACAAAAAGCCAAAACACAAACGGGCCCACACAGAGACGGCAGACAAAAGACAAATTATTGTAGCTTTAGATTAAATGGACGCACATTAAAGCAGTCACACACACACACGCACACACACAGGGTGGGGGGAGGTGTGGGTGTGGTAGTGGGTGGCACATATATAAATTAAGCAATAGCCTGAAACCGAAAAGGCGGCCCGAACAGCAGCAGAACTGAAACTTTGTCAAGCTTTTTCTCCGCCTGAGTCTCCCCTTTGTGCTCCCCTCTTTCGGTGACGTGCATAAACTATTTGTGGGCACTGTGCATGGACTGGGGGTTGGGGGGTGGCAGGAAAATTCTACCGAAATAAAATAATTAAACGTTTGTTGTCTCTCCTCTGACTCTGACTCCGTCCCTGGCTCCGTCTCTGGCTCCGGCGCTCTCCTTCAGTTGAGATGTTAACAAAATTTATAAGACAAATAAATTTTAGCAGCAGCAGAAACGGAAAAAAATAACACCCAAAGGCAGCAGATTTGTGGCTCGTTCATTCCGTCTCCCTTTCCCTTTCTCTCTCTATCCTTCTCTGGGAGTAAAAATACCAACAAAAAGGGTCAAATTTGTGCGTCTGTCGTTTGCAGTGGGTCCTGTCCTGTCCGGTTCTGTCCTGTCCTGTGACCAGAAAATTAATTTAACTGACACGTTTTTCATTCAGAAATGAAAAGTACATTTTGTCATAAATAAAATTCTGAGCTGCATTTATCATGGAACGGGGGTTCGGTGGTTCGGGGGTTAGGGGGTTTGGGGGTGGCTTAGCAGGGAAGAGCACCCCCTTCGGGTGGCTCAAAAAGGTCCACGTTGTAACTTTGTGCCCCACAAAGGAATGTGCAAATTTAATAAATACGAGTATTATCTGCAAGCACTGTTTAAGGAAGTCTGAAAGACTTCTGTGTTCTCTAGAGAGCAGTAGAACCCTCGGGTTCTAGTTATGCTTCAAAAACTGTTTACATTTCCACTAAAACTATCCAGATCTGCTGTCCCTAAAGGACTCTTGCCATGGCGGATGGTTTCTGTGAATGCATCCATTTTTGGGCTCCTGTTCAGCAGAGCAAACGCATCTCACGTGTGTGTGCTTCAAGTTGCAAATTTTCCATAAGAACACGCCCAAAAGGACATCGTTGTGCTCTGACAGTCTCGGGTTAAGTGAATCTAAGCGCTGCACTCCAAGGGCCAGCCAAGCAGACGCCGCCGCAGCTCCTCTCAGTTCTGTTCTTCTGAGTTCTTGGCCGACGACTGCCGCCGAGATGTGTGTCGCCCAGCCATGTGTGGGTGCCATGGGTGGTACCTTTTGCATAATGATAAGCCGAGTGACAGTCACCTCCTAGCTCAGTCACCTGTGCGTGGGCTTGTCTTTAGTTGCAGGACATTTTTACAAAAAAGTACCCAGTAATCGCAGAGACACCGGCGAGGATACCTTAGATACCTTGTTATAGAAATAATCATAGCCGCTTGGGCAAGAATCAATACGAACAGATCATATTTGTGTCCATAATAGGGAAAGCATAAGTCACCAAGTCTATGTAAGGGAGGGGTATCGTGTAGTCGACTATTTTGTGACGTTTCTTACTTGATTTCTGAGATGCGCTCGAAAGTATGCAACTAATTTTGTGTTTCTCTGCTCTGCTTTCAGGTACTGCAACTTACACTTTTTTTTACCAACACAGTCACACACTATTACCCTGAAAAACACACACACAGACATACTCAAGCAATAAAAGACTCCAATCAGATGTAACCGTAGAACTGTAGAGCTATAAAACTGTAAAAACCCAAAGAAAATACGATCAAAATTCCTTAGGAAACAAATCAAATCAGCATTTACAAAGAATAAGTCTGTTCAAGAGAAATCAATTGAAAAGACATTGAGTCAAAGAGATATACATACATATTTATTTTGTGCTATTGAAAGGAGAAAAAATACATAAGAGGAGCAGCAACCACAACCACAACAACGAATAGATTACATGATAGTGCTAGTGCTAGTGCTTGTGCTTGTGCTTGTAAAACTGTTTGCCCTAACAGAGGAGAAGAGTGAGTGAGCCCTGCCCTGCCCGCCCTGCCCGCCCAGCACGACGACGGACGACGGACGACGGCAAAGCCTTAACAGTCGCTCAGCAGAACGGAGGCAGCAAAATGTTGCCAGCAACAACAGCAGCGCCGAGTGACTCCAACAACACAAACACGAACAACTACAACTACAACAACAAATACAAATACAACCACAAAGCGCCTTTTCAACGTCGCTGCTGTCACAGAAGCAAAATTACAACGATAACATAAGAAAGAGATAGCAACATAAAGAGAGCACAGAGAGAGAAATCAAACTAGCAGTTCACCGTTCGATTAAGCCGATTCGTTACCCCATCCCTCCATCCCGCCACCCCTTACCCCTTGCCCCTTGCCCCTCTTCCCCATCGTCTGTCCTCCTTGCCTGCAATCTTCTTTGTTGTTGTCTGTGCAGTGTTGGTGCGGGGGTGCCCCGTGTGGCGGTGTGCCGGAGTGCCGGAGTGCCGGAGTGCCTGCGTGCGTCGCCTGCCTGTGTACCCTCTCAGGGGAGAATTTAATTATTTTATTTGCATTAAGCGCGCGTTATGGCACAACAGCAGCAGCAGCAACAACAACAACAACAACAACAACACCTACAACATCCACACCAAAACACCAACAGCAACAATCAACTGCAACAGCAACAGCAGCAGCTACAACTACAGCTACAGCTACAGCAGCTACAAGAACAACAAGAACAACAACAACAACAGCTACAGCTACAGCAATACAATAACAATTTCTACAGCCAAAACTATAAGTAAGTTTTAGAGTCACTGGCTGTCCACGGTCTCTCTCTCTCTCTCTCTCTCTCTCTCTCCCACTCGTTCTGTTTCTCTGTGTCTGTGTCTGTGTCTATTTCTATGCCTATGACTGTTTGTTGTTCGTGTCTCGTGTCTCTGTTTATGTGTATTGTTCTTAAGCATGTGAAACCAAACCCCGCGCCCCTCCTCCCCACAGCTCTCGGGTGCTTTAAAATACAAATTAAATCAAATGCAAACATTTGCCATCGCCGGCCCCTGCCCCCTGCCCACTCCACCCGCACCTCCACGTGCAATATTTGCAGCACCCATAAAGCTGTGCGCATGCCAAACTGTTGACAAATGCTTGCTTGTTCCTGTCAAACGTCTATGTTTGTATGCACATGGGAGTATGTTAAGCTCTAAAACTGTGAACAGCAGAGTCTTCTGCTGCTGCGTAGCCGCTAACCGTGCACTTCGGGCTTCAGGCCAAACGGAAAACGCCTCTAAAATAATCCCCAAAAGCTATAGTTCTACTTACTGTACCCCTTAAATGTTTGAAAAGTGAAATGCTAATCAATTTGTACCTATTCTTCGATGACATTTCGCTGGTTCTTTTTATATGCATAATAGCTAGATAATATAGAAATATATAGAAACTATTTACATGCACAGGTATATCAATTCCAAGTTTGAAAAAAGCTATTCTGACAGCCGTCTCATTAAAAGTTTAGGCGTATCTGCATCCATCCACCATCGACTTTTGCTCGACTCTTGCCCATGAGAACTTTCTGTTTGGATCTTAACTCGTTTAAAATTAAAGAAACAAATATCATCAATAAGTAACCAATTCGGAATCCGAATTAGATTTTTGCCAGTGATGGCATTGATTTTATTTGATCGAAATGACGATTGATTTCTAATATTTTCCATGAGGTTCAGTAGAGGTCCCCTCTCTTCTTTTGTGGTAGCACCAATTTCTCTGCGCTCTGCGGCCACACTGGAACTTTGTGGTGTGTGCCATAATCTCACTTTAACCTTTCCGGCAATAATCGGTGTTTATTTATATCGTGTCCGAGGCCTGCCAGAAGCCAGCTGCATGCATTTTAATCGTCGCCATACAAGATATCATCTGAATAAGTTGATCTGAATACTAGGCCCAAATCTGAGACGTAATTCAAAGGCGAAAACCAACCTCCAAACTATACACGCGTGCGTGTGCGTGTGCGTGTGCATGCGTGTGTGCCCTCCCTTATGCACTCACTCGAATGTAAACATGCTTGAGCCCCTGCTTGAGCACAAATCCATTGAGCGGCAGGCAAACGCAGGTACTCCCGCCCCCTGACCGCCTCGCGACCGAGTACGAGTACGAACGGACACGAATCGGAGCCCAGGCAAGGCGCCACACAGTGCATGTTAAACTGTTTGAGCCTCGGGGGAAAAACACGTGACGTGACTGTTCCTGTTTGTTCGCCTAATGTTTGTTGGTGTTGTTGTTGTTGTTGTTGTTGTACTGCCTGTGACATCTGTTTGTTGTTCTAATCGTGTGTTGTTGTTGTTGTTGTTGTTCTAACTGCACCCAAAAATTACGGGGATTAAAACCCATACTCGAATCTGTGTCCACTTTCATGTACAATTTTGTTTTGTGTTCTTTCAGCATGGAGGAATACGAGCGACGGAAGCGACGAGAACGTGAGAAAATCGAACGGCAACAGGGGATACAGATCGATGATCGGGAGACGGCTCTGTTTAGCGAGCCGCGACGGCTGACGGAGGGCGATGCCGAGATCACGGCCGCCCTGGGGGAGTTCGGCGATGCGAGGGTCTACATCAATCAGTCAACGGTGGGGATTAGTCGGCACGCGCCCGGCGCCGGCAATCCGCGTCTGCAGGCACCGCCGCCGCCCAAAACCCTCGGCCATTCGCACTCACCCTCGTCCTCCTCCGCCGCCGGCTCCGGCTCCGGCTCAGCCCTGCCCGGCCAGAGCCAGAGCCAGCAGCAGCAACAGAAGCAGCATTACCAGCAGCAACAGCAGCAGCAGCGACCTCCGGGCTATCTGAAGCAGGCGGACAACAAGCCGCCGTACAACGGACGCGGCGGCTACCCGGGGCAGCCCATGAAGAACGATATACCCTCGAGTAGTGGCATGGCCCCGCCCCGGGGACCGCCCAGATCTGGCTCTGGCTCCATCTCAAACTCCAGCAGCAACTCGTCCAGCGCCACAAACAATGCCACCGGCGGAGCCGCCGGCACGACTCCCCTGGGTCCGCCCTTGTCCACGCAGATGCCCAATGGGCGGGAGAAATCGTTTCTGGGACCACCGGCGCCAGCGCTCCACAATGGCGCTGGGCTCTTTGTGCCTCCAGCGGCCAGCAAGCGGCCCGGCGGCGGCAGTGGCGCCGGACTGCAGCCGCCCCCGCCAGAGGTGAGTCCATGAGATTAATGCCCCGAAAGGGACTGCTTTCTAACTGCTCCATCTATCCCTTTCCACCCTCCACCCTCCACAGAAGGACATCACCAAGATGATCAGCGAGATGACGAACAGCTTTCGGGTGACGGCCCCTCTGACGTCGATAGCGGCCACTCCGCACGCCCCGACGCGAGAGAACTACAACCTGAACGGACCCAACACGAACAAGTATGCCTTTGGCCCGATCGGCTCGCCGCCCATCGGCTCCCAGCCCTCGTCCCTGATGACCCCGCTGTTCGCCCCCATTGCGCCCATCGCCTCGCCCATTACCTCCCTGCTGACGACCCCGCCACACGCTAGTCAGGGATCCCTAGGCGGCGCGAGCCCCGTGGCGCCGCTGCAACAACTGCCGCCGACGCCGCCCAAGGCTGCGGCCGCTCTCTCCCCCACAGCAGCGGCCAAGCCGCTCAAGACGGAGAAGAACCATACGTTGGAGAAGCAGGATTCATGGTGAGACATGAGAGATTCCTTTCCTTTCGATTTCTAACTGTTCTTATCCGTTTTTGTCACAGCCTCGAGAACGATCTGGAGCTGTCCGAGTCGGAGGACGAGCAGCGCAAGAAGGAGAGGTGAGAGAGGCTCATGATGGATTCTCGTTGCAGATGCCATAGTAAATGCTCTTAAATATTCCAGCAGGTCGGCGGGAAACAGCAGCAACAGCTCCGAGTCGGATTCCAGCGAATCGGGCAGCGAGTCGAGCAGCAAGGGAGACCACCAGCAGCAGCACCACCATCACAACCATCACCACCAGCAGCAGCAGCAACAACTGCAGCTGCAGCAGCAGCAACAGCTCCTCCAGCAGAAGCAGCAGCATCAGCAGATCCTCCAGCAGCAGCAGCGACAATTGACGGCAAATGGCAGCAAGAAAAAGTACAGCCACTCGATCATTGCCGGAGGCGGAAGCACAATAAGTGGACTGCTGACGTCCAGTGGGTTCGGCAGCGGAGGCGCTGGCAATGGCGGATGCTCCACAGCGAGCTCTGGCGGGGGCGGAGGAGGCAGCGGGTCGGGCGGAGGATCGGGCAGCAGCTCGGGCATCGGGACCATGAGCAGCGGCAGCTCCTCGAACAAGACGCCCTCGCCCACGGAGAGCAACAAGTGGACGCTGAGTCGCTTCTTTCCGAAGCCGGCCAACCAGACCAGCTCTGAGAGCGTCTCGCCCGGGAATGTGAGCATGAAGGTGCCTGGCATCCTGCCAGGCGGCGCTCAGATCATACCCGAGTCGATTGAGGTGACCACGGCCATTGTGAAGAACGAGAAGATCCACGATGACCACATGGACATGGACGAGGTCGAGGAGGAGGACGAGGATGAGGAGCAACTGCAGCAGCAGCAGCAGCTGCGCTACGGCGCCGGACTGAGTGTCACCCCCGTGGCGGTGGCCGTCAAGAAGGAGGCCCTGGACGGCGTGGGGGAGATGGGGGGTCTGCCGGCGATACCAAAAAACCAGATAAAACGGGAAGCGGAGGCCCTGCACTCCGCCGCTCGTCTATCGGACTCCGGGACCAGTGGCAGCGGCAGCACCTCCAGCAGCAGCAGCAGCTCGGATAGTGCCCCCGGCGAGGTGGTGCCGATGCCGGGCCCCGGCGAGACGCTGCAGCTTCCGGGAGTGCCGGCTGCCATTACGACGGTGATGCGGGTGCACCCGACACTGATGCAGAAGGCTCCGCCAAATAGTGTCACCCTCACGCCCATTCTGCCGCTCCCCGCCTCGCCCAAGCAGCGCCAGAAGAAGCCGCGCAAGAAGAAGCCCGCCACCAGCGCCCCCATTCTGGACTCCAGCGACGATGATGACCCGCCGGCTGCCAAGCATGCCCTAGAATTGTCCGCCGCCGCTGCAGCTGCGGCTCAGGCCCAGGCCACGGCCACTGTTCCGCCGCTGGCCGTGAAGAAGGGACGCGGCAGGCCTAGGAAGCAGCAGCAGAGTGGCGGCAGTGGGAACCTGAGCAGTGCCTCGGCCGGCAGCAGCTCCCAGACGAAGGGACCCACGCTGACGGCCGCCAAGAAGCCGCTGGTCAAAGGCCCCGCCATGGCCAATTCGAGGAAACGAGACCATTCCAGTCAGAGCAGCTCCAACGGCAACACACCCACAAAGAAGCTAGCCATGGGCACGGGCACAGGCACAGGCACAGGCACGGCCATGGCAGTGCCCATGACAGTGATACCATCCGGTCCGGCCAATGCCAGTGCGGTGGCAGCGGCCAGCAGCAGCTCCGACGAGGACAGCTCGTCGAGTACCGGTTCCACTGGCTCCAAGTCGAGCAGCTCCTCCAGCAGCAGCGACGACACAGAGACCACCCAGAACACAAAGTGTCGGATCGTGAAACTGAACAAAACGGGAGCAGTGCCGCCCCTGGCCCGCTTGGGAGCTGTTGCTAGCGCGGGTGCGGGTGCAGGGGCCAGTGGGAGCAGTTCCCCGAGCAGCAGCAGCAGCGAGCCCGAGGATCATCTGGCCATGAGCACGGTCAGCGCCCTGCCTATGGCCCAGCAGTTGATGCAGCCGTACAAGCCGCGAGCCGTCAGCCAGCACAGTCAGCAGCTGAGCAGCTCCGAGTGCTCTTCGTCGAGCGGCAGCAGTACCAGCGGCGACGAGGACGAGGCCAAGCGGGAGAAGGAGCGGGAGCGCAAGCGGAAGAGCGACAAGAACAAGATCAGCACGCTGACGCGCATCTTCAATCCCAAGGAGGGGGGCGCCAAGAAGCAAGGCCAGGTGGTGATCATGGACCAGTCGGAGGAGCAGCAGCAGGTCAAGGTCGGCGACTCCTCCTCCCAGCCAGTCCCAGTCCAAAACGCGGCGATAGCCAAGCTCCGCATGACGCCCACCCAGCAGCAGCAGCAGCAGCAGCTGGGCGCAGGTCTGGCCTCCCCGGCACGGACCACGACCCCGCATTTGACATCGCTGATATGCAAGATTGACCTCAGCAAGCTCTCCCGCGAGCGGATCATGCGGCTGAAGAAGCTCACACCCTCCCAGCAGAACGGACATCTGACGCCCAAAGATCTGGTCACGATCCAGACACAGGGACCGTCACAGCCCGTACAGGTTTCGGCCCCGCATTTAACACCCAACGGCTATGCCGGAGATGGGCATGGGCATGGGCATGGACATGGGCATGGGCAGGGGCAGGTGCAGGGGCATCTGCTGCCTGCAAAGGTGAAGCACGAGCATCCGCATCCGGTCAAGCCGGAGCCAGAGCTGGATGCCGGCTACGAGAGCAAGTTCAAGCCCGGCAACGTGAAGCAAGAGTTCCAGCTGAAGCAGGAGAGGGATCGTGAGCGGGAGAGGGAAAGGGATCGGGATCGAGAGCGGGAGCGGGAGAGAGAACGGGACCGGGAACGAGAGCGGGAACAGCCAACAGGAGGACGTCGGCGCAAGCGCAGCTCTAGCTCCAGTTCGAGTCCGTACAAGGAGAAGAAGCGGAAAAAGGAGAAGTCCGACCATCTGCAGATCAGCAAGGACCAGCTGCTGCCGGTGCCTGTCCTGCTGCCTTCCAACAACCACGAGCGAATATCCTGCCACGAGCGGTTGTCTTTTGACAAGCTTCAGCTGCTTCATGAAGACGCTGCTGCCGTCGCCGCTGCCGCTGCCGCTGTCTCTGCCCCGAACGGTAGTCCCAGCAAGAAGCTGCTGGTCATGTCACCGCTACCGCCTCCACCAACAGCCGTAGTCGTGCCCCCCGCCGTTGTGGCGCCCTCCACATGCAGCGAAGCTGTGCAGACGACTCCCCCGTCGGCAGCAGCAACGGCCACAGCGGCCACATCCACGACGGGGACCTCAACGGCTCCACCGGCGCCGGTCACGCGTCTCATATATCGATCCTACTTCGATCGTGAGGAAGAGCCCCACAGCGATGACCACAGGTAAGAGTCCTTCATGATAATCAATCTGTTCAGCCGTACTGACTCCTGTTGTTTCTCTCCAACTGAAACTCCAACCCGTAGAAAAAACAATCAGTTCCTGGTGGAGGCCGTCAACCGGAAGCATGCTGCCGACTCGGAGCGCGACTCCTTCAATCAGGTCACCCTCTATTTGGAAGCCGTTGTCTACTTCCTCCTTACCGCCGATTCCATGGAACGCAGCAGCTCTGAGCAGGCCACATGGACCATATACAAGGACACCCTGTCGCTAATTAAGTGAGTAATGTGTGCCAAAAATGAAAGGGAACGATGCCCTTGGTGCCTTCGTAACGTATTAAATGTTTCCCTTTTTGTTTCAGATTCATTTCCTCCAAGTTTCGGCCCTACCAGCAGTCAACGAACGGACAGCACGAAACGCACAACAAAGTGGCCATACTAAGGTGAGTCGATGGGGTCTCCTCTCCCCCTTTTCCCTAACCAAATCCAGAAAGAAATTCTATCTTGGATGGAGGTGGCTATGGATAACCGTGCTGTACGATTGCGGACAGATCCTTCCTTACCTGTCTAAGATATTCTTTGTTCCTGGAACTCGCTCTATATTCGTGCTAATCATTTTCCATTCAATCTGTTCGCTGTCTCCAGCTTGCGCTGCCAGTCGTTGATATCGCTTAAGTTGTACAAGCTGCGACGGACCAATTGTCGCACTGTCATCAACAGCCTAACGGAGTTCTTTCGCACCGGCAGGGGGGACATTGTCAATGGCAATACGCCGTCCTCCATATCACCATCGAACTCGGTGGGCTCACAGGTAAGAATCGAATTCAAATGCAGCCATAATCTCGGCATTGCAGAATGGCATTGATCTGACTCTTTCGGCATTACAGGGCTCCGGTTCGAATACGCCGCCAGGAAAAATAGTGCCTCAAGAAATACACACTCAGCTGTCGAAGCAGAATGAGTATCTGACCTATGTGAATAGTGCTCACGAGTTGTGGGATCAAGCCGATCGACTGGTGCGCACAGGCAATCATATAGGTGAGTGGATAAGAGGATGAGAGAGAGAGAGAAAGCTGGAGAGAGTCGAAAGTAATCGAATCAATGCCACTCCACACAGATTTCTTCCGCGAACTGGATCACGAGAATGGCCCGCTGACGCTGCATAGCACCATGCCTGAGGTGTTTCGATATGTGCAGGCGGGCCTCAAGACGCTCAGGGATGCTGTGTCGCATCCGACGCAACAGACGCTGCATCAGTCGCACTAACGACAGCAGGAACAGCCGCAAAGGGAACGACAGCGGAACCAGAAGCAGAAGCAGAAGCTGAAACAGAAACAGAAACATAAACACCACCACCAAACGTGTCTAAATAAAAGTCAGGCCAAATTAGCAACTATTATACACTACAAGCTACTAATTTAGTTAATCAAGAAACACTACACGCAATGAAAAGAAACGAAACTAAACGGAATAATCCAAGAACCTTCCAACAGAACAGCAAGGAGAGAACCAACCAACCAACCAACCAATCAACCAATCAACCACAACACAACAAATAATTTGTTAATAATTTATAGTTTTATATGTATGTATGTATGTAATTTGTATATGCACACCAATTACTTATTTCCTTATGCTCAATTTTCGATTGTTTTTTGTAAGCATGTTAAGCTTTATATTTATGCCTAGTTTTAATTGATATTACCTACCACACACACACACACACACACACACACAAACACACACCACACCACACTAAAAGTTTAATTAGCTATATGTCTAGACCGTAAGCTCAACCAAACAACAAGTAAGAAAAAAGTAAACTGACCCTGCCCCTGACTCCCGTTTATGCCCGATTGTACTACCTGTAACCCACATGATGAACATTTTAGTTGAATTTTGTTTTCGTATGCGTCAAAAGCAAAGAAAAAGAATGCCTTTTATAATTGTTTAAGTTTTAGTTAATTTTTTCTTTGCATTGCATTGCATTGGTAAAGAGAATCGATCGCGTTAGCCAATATATTTGTATATGCATATTATCGCATCTATTTAAAGCAACAAGTTATAGTTATAAATTCCTTGTAATATTTTTGATTATTAATTATGTTTAGTGCAACTATTCTATTGATTTAAAAGTAATTTTTTTAAAGCAATCACAACAACGTTTCTAGAACAAAATACATGAAATGAAAGAAAATAAGATATATATTTATATATATATATGGCAAATATATCAGCGTATATGGAAATTTAACTTTTGTTTTTTTACTTTGGTTTTACTTTGGATATGATTTACATCACTAATTATATTATGTATGTTTAGTATGAATACGAATACAATCGTGACACCCTACCCTACCAGCACCTACCACCGCTCCACGAACCGAATCATCTTACCCACACTTTGGATCAACATTCGACCTAAACTTAATGGGTGCCTCAAGACTCTCACACAGACGCAACAAAAAATAGTGCATTAGTAGAATTAAACGAGTTAAAATCAATTGAAATAGACTTGCCCTCAAATCGATATACTTATACATATATTAACTGTACATATAGCAGCCTATATACACTCGAACATATACAACATACGATATACATAGGTATATATACATATATATTTTTAATATGCCAAACAAAAGCGGAATGCAATAAACTACTTTAAGCCGAATCGAATCCAATCAGCCAGCACAGACCCCCACAGATCGAACACCGTACAACCTAGAGAGGGGTGTGCGATGGTGGGGTGGGGTGGGGGTCTTTACAAAGTGCTGGCTGCGTTTTGTTGTTGACTCTTTTTTGGCATAGAACGAGAAGCGAAATCGAAAACGAAAACCACGAAAATCAAAGCGAAAACGTATGTAACGAAAAACCAAAATGAAAACTCTATTAAATAATATTATTAAACATGGTTCTGGGGAAACAAAGCATTTCACTTTCAACAAATGAAACAAAATACAACAACCAATTGAATTATAGGCAAATTTTAAGTTGACGAACACGAACACTTGAACCGATGATGAAGGGGGGGAAGAGTGGTAAAGTGAAAAAGTGGAAGCGCAATTTTATTGTGCAATGAAACTAAGTGTAATTATTATAGATTTAATGTACATATGCATTGTTAATAATTATCAAATGCTGTATATAAAATAGTAGTACACGGAGACACAGCCTATAAATGCATAGTTCATACGTACATACATACATACATACATACATACATATAGACACATACATACGTACGTACATATGCATAGAGATGAGATGCATACAAATCCACATTTATATACTGGCATACACGACATACATATATGAAGACAAACAACAAATATACATGCATATATATAAATATATATATATTTTTATATATATACAGATACAGATGAGATACAACTAAACGACATAGTAATTATACATAGTTAAATTTTTTCAAAACGACAAGATCAACTTGCAGCAATAAGCAACAGCAAAACACCAACAACAACAACAACCACAAAACAAAAAAAAACAAAAACAAAAACAACCAACAAACGAAATGCGCCTAGAAATAGTTAATAATTATATTTTGTTAAGCGTTATTCTAGTGAAAACAAGAACAAAAACAAACAAAAAAAATACAAAGAAAAGAAAAGAAATCGAGAAAACCACAGAATTAAGTTTTAGGCTCTGGCCATTATTCGAATGAGAAGCAACGGCAGACACCAAAACGAATGCAAACACGAAGTTGTTCATTAACAAAGTAAACGTAAAAGTAACGGTAATGGTAATGGTAATGGTAACGATAAAAGTAAAGCTAAATCATATATATTTTGTACAAATATAATTAAAAAACAAAAAAAGAAGAAACCCAAAACCAAAATAAAAGTAAAACAAAAACAAAAACAACCGCGGCAGCAGGCAGCAGCTAAACCAAGTACACTTATTAAAGTTTAAGCAACAACAACAACAAAACAACCAATTTAATATGCAATTACCGTAACAGTAGTTGATAAATCAAACGAATAAAACATCAAAAATTGTAACATTTAATAACGCCCACCCCCCCCAAAAGTCGTTTCATTTTGTCGTTTCCGCGGTGCTGTACTCGTACCTGGGATGGATTATATTGGGGCGGTCCGAAATGTGTCCAGCCCGACAACGAAGACGCCTCCTACGCTAACCCAACTTTTGGTCCAAAATTTCAGCCACAGCGATACTATAATTATATTTGAACAATCGCTTAACTAAGTCGATATCAGTGCTTTCGTAAAAATGGAAAAACCGAGATGGATGCTGTTTATGGGGACCTTTATCCTTACCATAATTTGCAGCTGTAAACTTTTGTGCTGCGGAATTTATGCGTAGTAAATGACACAATTTCGGGACTTCCAAAAATTGTGATCACTGACGAAAACATCGCCAAACTTATCCAAATTGTTCTGGATCGGCAAGTCTAAAGACTTCGTTTGTCATATTTTGAACAACGAATTCGAATTGAAAAAGCTCTCGGGACGTTGGGTTCCGCGTTTGCTCACTTTTGATCAAAAGCGCTTTCGAAAAAATATTGCCAGGTTTTCTTGGCGATGTTGACGCGTAATAAATCAGAGTTTTAATAACTGTGGATGAAACATGGATACACCACTATACTTCAGAAACAAAATCCCAACCAAAACAGTGGACCAGCGACAAAGATGTCAAACAACATTTGAAAATGACACCCAAAACAGCGCAAACTGTTATTTCAGTTCGATTATCTGGAGAGTGGAAAAACGGCCCGAATTGCAGAAGAAACTAATTTTGTTGCAGCATTATAATGCACCTTCCTATACATCAGCAGTTGCCATGGCCTTGAATTGAATCCCTACCTCTCAGACCTAGCACCAAGTGACTTTTTTTAATTCGCTAAGCTTAAAGTTGCGCTTTTCAAACAGAAATCGTCCTCAAATGAGGAGGCTTCTTGCTTCACTATCGATGCTTTCGTCTACAGACAATATATAGAGCAACAGCTGATCGCCTCCGAATTCAATTATGTACTCTCTTAGTGTCCGTCAGTCGACGTTTAAAAATCTTAAAAGGTAAAGACATTGATGGATCTCTTCATTGCCAGATATTTTCCTTGCGATGAATAGTCGCTCGAAAAATAGAATTTTACATAACAAGTATATTTAATTCAATTCAGTTATTATGCTTAAGCCCCTTTTCAGCTGGGTCTAGTAAGATCACACAAGCCTCTATTGGTTTTGATAAGTGCAACAAACTGCTCTGCAAACCGACTTTTTCCGATAGCTTTGGGGCTTTAGAAATGTTAAATGAATTACGGTTTTTTTTTTTTTTGTATGGTAAGGTTTTTTTAAACAAAATTTGTTAAAACTGTTATTTTTAGTAATTTTTTTTTTCAGAGGCTGGGCTTTTTTTCATATTTGGTTGTACTTGACTTTACAATTCTGAAAAGCTGATCAATGCAGCCTTAAGCCGGATCCAAACACTGTGTAGCTTCAGCTTACCGTCTGGTAACTATAAAGCTTTTAAATGTCAAATTGATATTTTTCAGTTTCAATTCTCTTAAGGCTTTTATTAGAAAACATTCTGCCTTAATCTAACTGGCGACGAGGATTAACAATTAAAAGAAGAAACCTACACAAGCACCACGTTTAATCGAGCATACAGAATTTAAACGCTCAAAATATTTCAAAAGAAGAAGAAGTATATAGTCGCACATGGCTCAGAACATTACTGTATTTAGTGTATTACTTCTAGACAAGCAAGTACATCCCAGGGTCTTCGGCTCTGGCGTTCAACCGCAGCCGCGTCATCATTAGTCAGCCAGCCCAGATGTGTCATACTTCCGTATCAAATTTAAAATAATTTGTGCATTTCTCGAATGCGAATGCAAAGAAAATATCTACGTACTTGCAGTGTTGTCTTGTCTTTGATGGGAAACATAATTTCAAAATTAATGCTCAAGTATACCTAGTTATATGTCATTAACGTCCATAATCATCGGTAATATACAATATATATGTTATTATATAATATCGTACCACACCATACAATATACATATAAGTATAGATGGTACATACTTGTATATATGTAGTACTTATGCACAGTGATTACGCTAAAGGACAATTAGGAAAATACTAATTTCAAGTCAATTATGAAATGAAGAAAACAGAAACCAAACAGCATTCGAATCTCTGAAAAGGAACAGAGCATACAATCACATATTTCTGTGAGGACATATTGTGCGTACAGGCACATGCAAATCGCAGAGCCGAAGACCCTGGGATTTAATCAGTAAGGTTCGTTTGCGACATGTTCGGGTATGAACTGACACAACTATATATACTGAATGGTTAGTGGATAACCCCAGACAACGTCAACCCGGGACGAGAGCTGCTGACGATCACGCAGTTGTCCAGACTTTACGAGAACGATCCATCCATCCATAATGTTGGTAATCGCCAGATACATATCTATATTCATTTGTGACGAACAAATTTCATTTCCAGTCAGACTTCCCATCCAAATAACAACAGAAGATAGCACAAGAAGCGAAATGAGTGGCAAAGCTGTTT